CTTTAAATCACCTCGAGATTACTTACAATACCTAATACAATGGAAATGCTATGTAAATAGTTGCCTGCATGCAGCAAACTCAAGTTTTGCTTTTTTGGAACTTTCTGTAATTTTTTTTTCCGAATATTTTCCATCCACAGTTGGTTTAATCCAAGAATACGGAACCTGTGGACATAGAGAACTGACTCTACTCTGCACACAAGGGCTGAATGGGCAGACCTCTGTGGTAGGCGGAAGGGAGTATAGCTCATCAAGGGAGATCCTGGAACAACACGAGGCCTCAGTTAGTCTGTAGTTAGATCAGACAGGGCTTTTTTGGCCACATTAAGGAACCGTGCTTTGACCCTAATGGTGATGTTTTCCCAGGAAGGGGGCATGATTAGATTGGTGTTTCCTAAAACTCATTCAGGCTGCTGTATGAAGAGTGACTTATGAGAGTGTCTGAGGAGAAGCACTGACTCCAATAAGTAAGATATCCCCCCCTGTGGAGTTGGGGGAGAATATATTTATGTATTCTGTCCTCTGTTCACTCATTCTTTAAGTTATTCTCCAAACGACATATCAAGAACAAACTGGATAGTTATCTTGGTGTTACATTACTATGCTATCCAGGGCCCTGATCTAACAGGTCACAAATCTGCTTTCACCTTCATTTACCCAGCTAGTTAGTCATTCATACATCTGCCCTTCAGTCCATCTGTCAATTTAAAATTTATTCAGCACCTAAGTATATATAAGACACTGCTGTAGACACTGAAGATACAAAGATGAATACAGCATAAGCCCTACCCTATGCTTTACTAACAGTCTAATGTGTGAGATGGATAGGGAAACAATTTTAATATGACTAGATAAAGGCTAATGGATATGTTTACATAAAGGAAGGGCTGATTAGCTAGCACATAATGCTGCATCAAATGGACTTCTTTTACCAATATAAAAGAACAAGGAGCAAAATTCTCCTATTTTAAACAACGTATATTGTAGATATTGGTCAATTGCCATTTGTTTTCCACATGTTGCCTATAGGCATTAGTGGGAAGAGGGATTGAAAAAAATGTAAATGTAATAAGAAATAAACATTTGTATATTTTAATGGAGAATTTGTAACTGATAACCAGCTGTGGATGTTTTTATAATACAGCATTTATTGTTAAGTTTTTTTGGGATCAGAACAACAACGCAATATTATGTGCCTTTTAACATGGTTTATGTTACTAGACAGGAAGCGAAAATATTGAGCTCTCAAATTCAAAAATTCATGGCTGACACCAGAGAAGTATCATTAAAAATGAACTAGAATATGTGGATGAAGAATCACGATCACCTGTTCTCTGTCTGGTCTTCCCAACTTCAAAATGAACAAAGCTGGTTCTGTTTTGTTCTTCACTAATCCATCCCTCCTCAGAAGAGGAGGATTTTCAATGGTCATTGTAACCTGGATATAACAACTAACCTGGTGATAGCTATTTTTGCACTCCTCTCATTTTCTTCTTTCCTTTGCCTTCCGTGTAAGTGTCTAACATGGAAGTATTAGTGGTACACTATTTATTAGAATAAAAATACAGAATACTTGGAGGAAAGAAATACATGAAGGAGATTAAGAGGTACAAACTTTTAAGTTGCAACATAAATGAGTCCTGGGTATGAAATGTACAGTGTGGGGAATATAGTCAATAAGTTGTAGTATCTTTGTATGGCAGCTTGTAACTAGACTTATTGTGATGGTCATTTTGAAATGTACAGAAATATTGAATCATTATGTTGTGTAACAGGAACTAGCATAATGTTACAGGTCAATTATACTTCAAAAACAAGCAAAGAAACTCATAGAAAAAGGGATCAGATTTGTGATTACTAGGGGCGAGGGGTAGGGGGAAGAGGTACTGGATGCACAATCAAAAGGTACAAACTTCCAGTTATAAGATAAATAAGTTCTAGGGATATTATGTACAACATGATAAATATAATTAATGTGATTGTGTATTATATATAAAAGTTGTTGAGAGTAAATCCTAAGAGTTCTCATCACAAGAAAATATTTTTTTTCTATTTCTTTAATTCTGTAGATGATCACTAAATTTACTGTGATAATCATTTCATGATGTATGTAAGTCAAATCATTATGCTGTATACCTTAAACTTATACAGTGTTGTATGTCAATAATATCACAATAAAACTGGAAGGAAAAAATGAATGCATGAGCAGATGGTATCTCCTGAAACTACGTGGGGTTCCCCTACTTAAGGTAAAAGTCCCATGATAACGCATGAACTGAGTTGTTTAGTCAGCAACCACTGAAAGCAGTAAGGAGTTAGGAGCCTTCAGCAGCTTCTAGATCATCACTGACCAAAATGACTTAGGTAACTGCTAAAAGAAAAGAAGCATAAGTCATTTCATTTTAAGGAGGCTACCTTTATATACAGTTTAAGTTAGTCTTAGATTTAGAGCAGAATATAAATCTTTAATTTAATAGGAAAAATATTTTTGTGGTTATTTGCAGCATGCTCTTACTACCCGCCAATAAGAAAGCACTTTTCTTCCTTACTTCCTCCTACCTCTCTCCTGCCTGCTTTGGACATATAAGTAGCATTAATCACTTTCCAGTCATGTCTTATTCCCTTGTATTATTGAAATCCAGATTATTCTCGGAAAAGAAGAGATGAAAAGGTAACTACTCCTTTTGGTTTAGGTAGTAAACTACTCGGCAGTACTTAGAGGTTTTATTTGCAAACTTGTATATTTGCAAACTCAGTAAATGTGATAGCCAACTTTATTTTTCTTTTTTATAATAGCTAAGAGTTGCTGATTACTGAACCATGTGCCAGTCAATGTGGCAAATCCTTTATATGTATAATCTTATTTAATTCTTTCAACATAATGCCATGCTGGAGTTAATATAATTGTAACCATTTTATGGAATAGGAAACCTAATCTTGGTCTAAACCTACCATGACATAGCTAGTATATGGCAGGATTCAAACTTAACACTAGAGTTAACTTCAAAGCTGTACACTCTACTTAGCCTTTTTCCTCTACATATTTTTACTACCTAGATTCACTGCCACATTAATTTGCTATATTATTATTATTAGTTATAATTGCATTTTTTCATTTGACCATTCCTAAGTGTCAATCACGCATGCCTCTGGAGGAAAAGCAAATCAAATTTTGTATATCCCTCGAGGAGTCACAAAAAATTGGAAAAGGTATGGAGATGAGCACATTGCAATTTCAAAACCCAAGAGCTATGTAGTAGTACACAGATTGTAGACAGGACCCCTCTGATTGCTGATATATATGAACATAAATAATGCTCAAAATGTGAGAGAAAGGCCCTCTTTCATTTGTGAGGCAGAATGGGGTTAAAAGTGGACTCTGGCGTGAGCCTGTCTGGGTACAAATCCTAGTCCTGCCCACTGTAGCTATATGGTCTTGGGAAAATCACATGCTGTAGTTTCTCCAACTTTAAAAAAAAGAAATAAAAGCAACACCTACTTTCTAGGGGGTTTTGTGAGGATTAATGTATCTATTGCTTAGAATAGCACCTAGCATGTAATTGTTAGTCATTATTGATATTAATGTTCAAGCCTACTCGTTTTCTAGCTAGTATTTATGTATTTATGAAGTTTGAGTTTTCTTCCCTAAAATACTACTTGGGGCCCAAAGAACTTTATCTGCCTCATTGATTGATTGATTGATTGACTGTTATTTGGGGGATGGGAGGGCTGTTTGTTTTCTCATGCTCTGGCCATTTTGATCCTTTCCTAGAGAATCTCGCCTATTTCTCTTTAGATATTCTCATTCAGTTTAAGAAACTAAGTCCTCTTCTTTATGTGCTACAAGGTTACCACCCTTCTTGTCAGACAGAGGATAATTTTCAGTCTGAAAAGAAAATCTTTTGGAGGAAGGACTAAAGCCAGGGAGTTGGGTATATGAGGATACAACTTTCTGGGGATATCTGCTTCACTCCTTCCTTGTATCAGGTCATGCTAAAGTACTTTTGCTTTTCTGTTTCACATCCAGGTAACAGAGTTGATACCCACAGAGAGAGAAAGTGTCTCTCTTCCATCTTTCAACTTGTTATAGAAAATGTTAAGTAACGTGAGGCCCAGGAAAGATCCCTGCATAATATAACTTAATAGGATTACCGAAGTGGACACACACCATGGTAAACAGAGTTAGAATAGCAGCTAGCCCTTGTTAATTTTTAAATAATGGTGTTAAGGTATGTGGTTTCTGCACCTGGGTAGACATCAGAATCACCTGGTATGCTTGCTAAAAATATAGATCAATCTTTACCCTCCACCTCTCTCACCCTCTGTCTCATCCCCACGTCTAGCAATCTGCTTCATTAAATCGGAGGTAAGGCTTTGGAATCTGTATTTTTAATAGCATTGGGAATCACTGTCTAAGATGATTTATACTTGTATTCACAAGAAATTGACTTGATAATATAGTAATAGTGAGTCTTCATTTTTTTCTAAATTGACATTGAAAACTATCTTATTTTAAAACAAGATCCAATTTCCCTAAACAGTCTTTTTTCCTGAGTCCTGATGAAGAGGGACTGGGAGAAAGGGTTAAAAAATCAGTCATTTTTAACTTGTTAGATTTACAGAAGCAGAATTTTCAACCTGGAAGAGACACTAAAAACATACTCATATTTTTTTACTTTGCAGATACACAAACGACTCTTTCAGTGTAATGAGGGGCTACAATGAGAATTCACAGATCCACAGACATCATGACTTCCCAAAGCAAGACAGTTAGCTAGAAAAAAATTCTTGATTTCCATCATGCTTCTTGGTTGCTTCATTTCTTTAATAATCACCCAAGTGGATTGGATCTATTTCTCATTTTATGGCATTTAAGATTGGCATTTAAATACCCAGTGTATTTTTTTTTTAAAAAAAACATGGGCTTAGTAACTAGATGCAGCATCCTTCTTAACAAATACCTCTTAGAAGCACATTTTGAGAATTAAATGGAATCTTACCTGTAAGAGGCACCTTGACATCAAGGCCATAGAATAAAGGCAAGAGAGAAGAACAAGAATAGAAACAGAAACTGCAGAAGAAAAAGAAGAAGATTATGTAAATCTGAATTTCTGTACTGCCATTCAGGTCGTACAAAACCTCAGCTTTTCCACTTTGCTCAAATTCGACCATTTCTCATATATACACCAAACACCTTTTATTTCAAAAAACCATACCTTTTATTTATCCACTGGTAAAGCAATGCAATGAATAACTGGTGTTCAACTAACATCGACTGATACATTTTAGAACTCTGAGAGGGTCTTAACAGGTAATCGGTCTAAGCTCCTAATTTTATAAGTAAGAAAAATAAGCACAGAGCAGTTAATCAATAGTCTAATTGCCTATAATCTGATGGTATAGTGAAGCCTAGAGGTTAGACCTTCCAAGTCCTACTCTATTACATGTTATTGTCTCTATTTTTAATGTGTGAGAGGGTAATTTAAAAAATTAAAAATGATCAAAGTGTACACAATCACTCAATGCTATCATTATCTGGTTAACGTGTTAGGTTTCAGGACTAAGGTATTAATCTTAGGGTAGGGTAAACATATGATCACTTATCCACAGTGGGGCACTCCTCAGAGGGAAATGGAATTGTATTAGTAATTACATCAGGGCAACAGGTATAACCTGGGTCTGTCCTGGTTGAGTGAGGATATGTGGTCCTCCTACTGGTATGAACTATGCTTATTCATCAGAGGTAACTACACACAGTGAATGGATGCTGCCGCTCCAGGCTGTCATGCTTCTGAGATAGATTTCTCCTTATTTGACTCATAGAAGTTAAATGGAGTCCGATATTTCTCTCTTCACCAAGAACCTTCACCAGAGAAGCAGATACTTGGATGGAAAACATGCTTGTGTAGCACTGGTAGAAAACCAACTGTATACTAATTATAAAATGTCATAGGTCAGATCAGTTTTTTCAAATACTGATTTCCTCGGTGATTTACAGAGTCATGAAGTCTTTTGCCTTGATATCACACTTCAGGAGCCTTCTGTTGGTCGTGACATTTTTCTTTTTTTTTTTTTTTTTTTTTTT